CCCATTTTCACCATCCCAAATCCCAGTTTCACCATCCCAAACCCCAGTCTGACCATCCCAAACCCATTTTCACCATCCCAAATCCCAGTTTCAGCGCTCCCAGCCCGGCAGAGCCCGGCCCATCCAGGGTGGGCAAACAAAGGCTGGGCCCGGGCTCCAGGCAGGAATTTGCAGCCAGGATGGAGCCAGACACATTTACATTCCTGGAGCCGGAGTCAAACCCTAATCCTTCCCAAGATTTGCGGCCTCTGCTCTCCCCCAGGTTCCCTTTCCAAAGGAAAAAAAAAAGCTGGAAGTTTGGAAAAAGAGGGTTTATCTCATTTTTTGGAGGGATTTTTCTTTATTTTCCCACCCCATCCTTTTCCCCTGCCCACAGGTTTGATTGTAAAAAATTGGGATTTTTCACTGGGAGCCAGGAAAAAAATCTGGGAAAAGGTGAAAAGCTCCTAGACAGGCACTGAAAGGAGAATTCCAGGCAGATGAAACTCGTTGGGAATTGCTGGGATTGATAGGAGGGGAAAAGGAGGGAATAAAGGAGGGGAAAAGGAGGAGGAAAAAGATAGGAAAAAGGAGGAAAAAAGGAGGAAAAAAGGAGGAAAAAGGAGGGGAAAATGAGGGGGGAAAAGGAGGAAAAAGGATGGGAAAATGAGGAAAAAAAGGAGGAAAAAGGAGGGGAAAATGAGGAAAAAAAGGAGGGGGGAAAGCAGGGAAAAAGAAGGAAAAAGGAGGAAAAAGGAGGGGAAAAGAAGGGAAATCCCGGCTCCAGCCCAGCCAGGCGAGCAGGATCCCCTCCCCCGGGCAGGGATGTGGCGCCTGCAGGGAATTCGAGCCGTTCCCAAAGAAAATTTGGATTATTTCATTCCTGGCTCCGTGCCCAGGCTGGTGGGTTTGGGTGGAAATGATGGAAAAAAAGGAGGAGATTCCCAAAAGTTTCTCAAATCTGCGGTTCCCGAGGTTTGGGGTTGTCCCGGGAAGTGGCTCCGGCAGGGGGAGGGGAAGGGATGGAATCCAGATTCCCAAAATTCACCTGGATTGGGACACAGAAAAATCCAAACTGACTCAAAATCCACACAGAAAAAATCCAAATTCCCCCAAAATCCACAGAGAAAAATCCAAATTCCCCCAAAATCCACACAGAAAAAAATCCAAATTCCCCCAAAATCCGCAGAGAAAAATCCAAATTCCCCAAAAAAATCCACAGAGAAAAATCCAAATTCCCCCAAAATCCACAGAGAAAAATCCAAACTGACCCAAAATCCACAGAGAAAAATCCAAACTGACCCAAAATCCGCACAGAAAAAAATCCAAATTCCCCCAAAATCCACACAGAAAAATCCAAATTCCCCAAAAACCCACACCGAAAATCCAAATTCCACCTGGATTTGGACATGGAAAACTCCAAACTCCCCCAAAACTCCAAATTCCCCCAAATCCACCTGGATTTGGACCCAGAAAACTCCAAATTCCCCAAAATCCATGCAGAGAAAACTCCAAACTTGATGAAATCTGTGTGGATTTGGGCACAGAAAACTCCAAACTCCCCAAAACTCCAAATTCCCCCAAATCCACCTGGATTTGGACCCAGAAAACTCCAAATTCCCCCAAAATCCACCCAAATTCAGTCCAAACTTGATGAAATCTGTGTGGATTTGGGCACAGAAAACTCCAAACTCCCCAAAACTCCAAATTCCCCCAAATCCACCTGGATTTGGACCCAGAAAACTCCAAATTCCCCCAAAATCCACCCAAATTCAGACCCAGAACCTCTGGAAGTGCCAGGACCAGGAGCAGAATTTTCCGTGGATCTCTCCCAAACCCAGGGATAAAAGTGAGATTCCAGCTCTGGAATTGTGTCCCCGTTTTTGGGGACAGAGTGGAAAAGCTCCCAAAACATCCCAGGGAATGCCCACGGCCCCCTCACTCCGTCCCCTCTTGGATTTTCATTTTTCACTTTTCCCATTTTATTTTATTTTATTTTATTTTTCCCCCTTTCCACGTTTTATTTTTTTGGGAATCCAATATCCCGTGACCTCCCCTCGCCTCCCGTCCCCTCTCGGTCTGCAGATCAAAGGGACAAAAGAAAATCAGAAACCCGGGAGGAAAAGAAAACAGCTCCTGAAAACAACAACCACCAAAAAAAAAAAAAAAGGGAATTTTGGGAGAATTCCTGCACTTCTGAGGGCCCCGCACAGCTCCAGTCCCCGATTCCATGGAAAATACCCCAGAGTGAGCAAGGCCCGGGTTTTGGGGAATCTGGGCTCAGTTTTGGGAGGAAAAGGATGATTTTGGTTTGCCAGGAAAATCCCTCAAGCCCTTTTAAAGTTTTCTTTGGAGTTTTTGGTGGGAATTTCCCAGGAATTCCCCCCCCAAAAAAAGGGGGAAATCAATGGCAGGGGAAGGGAAATCAGGGATTCCCTGGCACCCTGGGTGGCTCCAGGAAGGAGGAAAATCCTGGGAATTTTGTGGTTGGGAAAGAGGAAAACCCTGGGAATTCTGTGGCTGGGAAGGAGGAAAACCCAGGGAATTTTGTGGCTGGGAAGGAGGAAAACCCTGGGAATTGTGGCAGGAGATGTCCTGGAAAATAATTTAAAGGGAAAAAATTTAGGATTGAGCAGATCCCAAAGCTCCAAATTCCCTTTTCTTTTGAGGGGACACTTTGGAGCAGTCCCTGGAATTCCTGGAATCTCTGGAATTCCTGGAGCGGGCTCCTGCCAGGGAATCACATTTGGGATCTGCTTTTTACCAGGGTTTTTTTTCCTGCAGGGAATTTTTTGCTGTTTTTCTGTGGGATTTTGGGATGCAGAGCCAGCCTGGAAGTGTGGGAGGAGTTTTATCCCATCCTGGAAAAAATTCCATGTTCCCATCAGGTGTTAAAAACTGCAAATGGTGGGAGGCTGAAATTCCCTTTTTCTCCAAGGAATTTCTGGAAGCTGGGAATTCCCAGTGATCCAAGCAAAATGCCCCAAAAAAGAGGGATGTGCTGATCCCAAAAAAAAGCAGATTTGCATTCCACAGAAATGAGCCCCAAAGCCATAAAAATTCCACATTTTCCTGGTCCTTCCTTCTGTTCTCACAGCAGCAGCAGCAGCTCCCTGATTTTCCTGGATTCCCCTTTGGAATCTGCCCTTCCCAAATCCCCAAAATTCCCAAAATTCCTTATCCCACATCCAGTCTCCAGTTTGGAGATTGATCAGCTCCAGAACACTCAGGAGTAGGGAAGAGAATTAAGGATTTATCCCTGATTTTCCTGGATTCCTCCTCAGAATCTGCCCTTCCCAAATCCCCAAAATTCCCAAAATTCCCCATCCCACATCCCAGTCCTGCAGGGAGATTGATCAGCTCCCAAACAGGACAAGAAGTAGTGAAGAAAATTAAAGATTTCTCCCAGATTTTTCCAGCTTTAACGACTCCTGGGCATGGGCAGGGAGGGAGGAGCAGCTGGAAAATCCTGGAAAATCCTGGAAAATCCTGGAAAATCCTGGAAAATCCCTTTTCCCCTGTGCTGGGAGAGCAGGAGAAGCCCCCAGAGCTGCAGGCTGTGCAAATCCCAGCCCAACATTCCCATTTTTCCCCAGGAATCACCTGCCCTGGAGGTGCCAGACAGATGATATCGGATTTTTGGCACCCAAATCCGCATTCCTCCCGAAAACCAATTTAAATTCCTGACTCCCGGAGCTCCTGGAGCCAGGAAAAAATGGGAATTAAACAAAAATCTGCGATGCTGGGATGTGATAAACGGGGTGGGGACGGGAAGTGCTCAGCCCGGGGGCTTCGGGGGACAGGAGGGGATTCCAGAGATTCCCAAAAAATCCCAGCTCAGCCCGGGGGGTTACGGGGACAGGAGGGGATTCCAGAGATTCCCAAAAAATCCCAGCTCCTCGTTTGGGGTCCTGACAAACCCGCGGGATGGCTCCGGGAATGGGGCTGGGGGGGATGGGGGGAGTTTGGGATTGGGGGAGTTTGGGATTCTGGGATTGGGGGGAGTTTGGGATTGGGGGAGTTTGGGATTCTGGGATTGGGGGGAGTTTGGGATTGGGGGAGTTTGGGATTCTGGGATTGGGGGAGTTTGGGATTTAGGGATTGGGGGGAGTTTGGGATTTGGGATAAATTTGGGATTCTTAGGTTTGTGGGGGAGTTTGGGATTCCAGGACTGAGGGGGAGTTCAGGATTCCAGGTTTGGGATTTTGGGATTGAGGGACAGGTTGGGATTTTGGGATTCCTGGTTTGGGTGAGAGTTCAGGATTCCAGGTTTGGGATTTTGGGATTGAGGGAGAGTTCAGGATTCTGGGTTTGGGGAAAAGTTTGGAATTCCATGATTGAGGGACAGTTTGGGATTCCAGGATTTGAGGGAGAGTTTGGGAGTCCAAGATTCCTGGATTTGGGGAAGAGTTTGGGATTCCTGGTTTGAGGGAGAATTTGGGATCTTGGGTTTGAGGATAAATTCAGGATTCTTGGGTTTGGGGAAAAGTTTGGGATTCCTGGTTTGGGGAGGAGTTCAGGATTCCAGGTTTGAGGGACAGTGAATAAATAAACTGGGAAAACTCTATATAAACTATGGAAAACCATATATACACATATAATTATATATATTATATATATATTAAAATATAATACATATAATTATATTCATAAAATATATAATTATATAATTATATATATATATAATTATAATATCTATAATTTTATTTTGCTTATTTTATTTTAAAGGACCCTGACTAACGAGTTCAAACCTTGGATTCCTTGGATTGTGGAAAAATTCAACATTTTCCTGCTCCAATACACCCAATTCTGAACCTGGGGGAGGATCCAAACCATTTCCAACCCCCTGGAAAAAGCAATTTTACTGGAAAAATCCTTGTCCCCTTCCCCCCCCCACCGCACAGAAAAGAGTCACTGATTTATTTCCGATATTTCCCATCTCAATCCTTCATTTCCAACCCCAAAAAAAACCCCAAATCAACCCCAAAAAAACACCAAACCCGTGCTGGTTACAAGTGCTAGGGTGAAATAATCAAATCACAACACAACGAGCCCCAAACGTCGGCGTGCTGCTCCGTGAGCATCTGGTGAAGCAAAAATTAAATATCCCAAGGGGAGGGTTTTTTTGGGGTAAAAAGAGGATAAAAAGCAGAATTCTGACGAAGAACGAGCTGGTGAGGACCTCAAAAATCAGCAGCAACTTCTGGAAGCAAAGCCGGAGGAGCTGGGGGTGATTTACAACTCTGCAGGTACAGGGAGCAGTTTCAAGGTCAAAGTGAGGGGGGTTTTTTTTTCAGTCCACAAGGCAGGAATTTGGGAATTTTGGGATGGCCAGCCTGGCTGCTAGGCTCCCAGCAGCATTCCCATGAAATCCGAGCCGTGCTGGACGGTGACGGCAGCCCCGGCGCCGTTGTCCACGAAGATGGAGGTGTACTGGCCAGCCTGCAGGGAAATGGGAGAAAAATGGGAATTTCTGCAGGGAAAACGAGGAAAATCCCCTTCCACCAGCAGGGATTTGTGGGGTTTTAGGTTCTTTTTTAGCTTTGGGCTGGGATTAATGTGTGGGATGGAATTTCTTGTTGGGACTCGGATGTTTATTTGGTTTTATCTGTATTATTGTCTTATAAACTGTGAGTTCTGCACTCCAGCAAACAAAAACGGAGCTCTGCAGCTCTGCAAGGCCTTTTAAGGACAAACTGTCCAATTAAAAAATTACACCTCAATTAATTTTACTTTTAATCCAATAACCAAACCCATGGCTCTCTATCCAGTTACAGAAAACCACCCAAACCCGCGGAGGAGGAGGAGGAGAAGGTGAAAAAGGTGAAGAAGAAGGTGAAGGAGGTGGAGAAGGTAAAGGAGAAGGTGAAGGTGAAGAAGGTGAAGAAGAAGAAGGTGAAGAAGAAGAAGAAGAAGAAGAGGAGGAGGAGGAGGTAAAGAAGGTGAAGAAGGTGGAGAAGAAGGACCAGCCTCCACCCTAAACCCTCCATCTTGCTTTATATATATTTATATATATTTTTTTATATATTATAATATTTCTATATATTATTCTAAACCCCCAACCTCTCAGTTTCCCACCCTGTGACCTCACACCCTTCCATCCAAACCCCACACCCACACTCCCAGCTCCACCATTCCATTCTGGAAGCTTCTCCACGGCCCCAGGTCAGCGCAGGGCTCTCCTGGGGGTCAGTGCCTGCCAGCACAGAAAGCCTGGAATTCCCAGCAGGAATTCAGCCCAAGGCTGGGGCTGAGCTGATGAAGTGGAGGAATTTTTGTGGCTTTGGAAGGAATTTGGTGTGGTTTTTTTTTGGTTTTTTTTTTTGGTTTTTTTTTTTTTTTTCCAAAAAATCCTTCCTGCCTTTTTGGGTGAAGTGGCTTCAGAGCCCCTCCTGGGAGGTGGGAAATCCCATCGGGAATGGAAATTCCCAGTGAAATCCCAGTGGGAATGGAAATTCCCAGTGAAATCCCAGTGGGAATGGAAATTCCCAGTGAAATCCCATTAGGAATGGAATTTCAATTTGTTGGGAATGGAAATCCCATCAGGAATAGAAATTCCCAGTGAAATCCCATTGGGAATGGAAATTCCCAGTGAAATCCCATCAGGAATGGAATTTCAATTCATTGGGAATGGAAATCCCATCAGGAATAGAAATTCCCAGTGAAATCCCATCGGGAATGGAAATTCCCAGTGAAATCCCATTGGGAATGGAAATTCCCATTGAAATCCCATTGGGAATGGAATTTCAATTCGTTGGGAATGGAAATCCCATTGGGAATGGAATTCCACTGGGAGTGCAATGCCAGGAGAGAGATGGGAAAGGAAAATAAATTTAAATTTGTTATAAATATTGGATTTTTCTTAGAGGGAAGCTTCTTCCCGTGCCTTGAACTCAGAATGTGAAACCCCAGCCAAGTTTTTCCTCCTGGTGCTGCCCCAGGTGAGGAATTTCCCTCCTTTAAATGTAGGAAAAAAGGGGGGTTTATTATTTAATTGCTATTTATTTATTTATTCTTTATGAATAATTATTAATTTTAACATGCTAATGATTGTTATTAATCTATTATTTATTGATTTATTTGCTTTTTATTTCATTATTTATTGGCTATTTATTTCCTGGAATTCCAGGGGAGAGTCCAGGAAATAATTCCATGTCCTGCCCAGAGATCTGGGGCAGAAATTCCCAATTTTCAGGGCCTCACCTGCAGCTGCAGCAAGCCATGGACATAAACAGTGAAGATTTTGCTGTTGCTTTCCAGGCCAGCAATGACTTCCAAGGACCTAAAAAATGAGAAATAAACAGATTTTAAAAATGAAAAGTTGAAGCCACTTGGCCCCTGCTCAGCACAAGCCCAGTTAAACTCAGTTTTAAGCCTGGCTGGTTCCTGCCCATTGTTGTTTTTCCTTATTTTCCCAATTTAACCAACCCCTTCCCCCTTTTTTTTTTAATTATTTTTTTCCCAGTGATGAATCCCTGCAAGTCCCAACGTGTTTTTTCCAGAAAAAATAAAAAGTGGAAGGCACTTGGCACCTGCCACTGAGCACAAACCCAGTTAAACTCAGTTTTAAAGCCTGGCTGGTTCCTCCCTCCCTATCCACCATTGTTTTTCCTTCTTTTCCCAATTTAACCAACCCCTTTCATCCTTCTTTTTTTTTCCCCAGTGATGAATCCCTGCAAGTCCCAACATGTTTTTTCCAGAAAAAATAAAAAGTGGGAGCCACTTGGCACCTGCCACTGAGCACAAACCCAATTAAACTCAGTTTTAATCCTGGCTTTTCCTTATTTTCCCAATTAAACCAGCCCCTTTCCTAATTTTTTTTTTTAATTTTAAAAGATGTTTTTCCCAGTGATGAATCCCTGCAAGTCCCAACAAGTTTTCCCCAGGAGCAGCGAGGAGCTGGAGCCCCTTGGCAGCCGCTCAGCTGAAGCTGTGTCAGATCCTGCCCCAGCCCTTCCCAGCGCTCCTCTCCTCCAGCCCAAAGCCTCCGGGGCTTTTCCAGCCCCATGGATGGATGGATGGATGGATGGGTGAGTCAGTGCTGGCATTCCCAGGAAATTCCATAGGGAATGTGTCCAGGCAGGCTCCCAGCGCTGCTGCCGGCTCCGACCGTCCCAGCCACGCACGCCTGGCACTGGGACTGTCCCAAATCCATCCTGAGGGATCTGCCCCAAACCCATCCTGAGGGATCTGGGACTGTCCCAAACCCATCCTGAGGGACCTGGGACTGCCCCAAATCCATCCTGAGGGATCTGGGACTGTCCCAAATCCATCCTGAGGGATCTGGGACTGTCCCAAACCCATCCTGAGGGACCTGTCCCAAACCCATCCTGAGGGACCTGGGACTGTCCCAAATCCATCCTGAGGGATCTGCCCCAAATCCATTCTGAGGGACCTGTCCCAAATCCATCCTGAGGGACCTGGGACTGTCCCAAATCCATCCTCAGGGACCTGTCCCAAATCCATCCTGAGGGACCTGGGACTGTCCCAAACCCATCCTGAGGGACGTGTCCCAAATCCATCCTGAACATTCTAGGATCCATCCCAAATCCATCCTGATTGCTCTGGAATCTGTCCCAAACCCATCCTGAGGGACCTGTCCCAAACCCACCCTGAGGGACCTGGGACTGTCCCAAATCCATCCTGAGGGATCTGCCCCAAATCCATCCTGAGGGATCTGCCCCAAATCCATCCTGAGGTAACCATCAAAACCCATCCTGAGAGATCTGGGCTTTGTCCCAAATCCATCCTGAGGGACCTGGGACCTGTCCCAAATCCTTCCTGAGGGAGCTGCCCCAAATCCATCCTGATTGCTCTGGGATCTATCCCAAATCCATCCTTAGGGACCTGCCCCAAATTCATCCTGAGCATTCTAGGATCCATCCCAAATCCATCCTGATTGCTCTGGAATCTGTCCCAAATCCATCCTGAGGGATCTGCTCCAAATCCATCCTGAGGTAACCATCGAAACCCATCCTGAGAGATCTGGGCTCTGTCCCAAATCCATCCTGAGGGACCTGGGACCTGTCCCAAATCCTTCCTGAGGGATCTGCCCCAAATCCATCCTGATCATTCTGGGATCCATCCCAAATCCATCCTGATTGCTCTGGGATCTGCCCCAAATCTATCCTGAGGGACCTGTCCCAAATCCATCCTGAGGGAGCTGCCCCAAATTTATCCTGAGCATTCTAGGATCCATCCCAAATCCATCCTGATTGCTCTGGAATCTGTCCCAAATCCATCCTGAGGGATCTGCCCCAAATCCGCCCTGATCTCTTTGGGATCCATCACAAATCCATCCTGATTTCTGGATCTGTGGATCTCTGGACCTGTGCATTTCTGGATCTGTGAATTTCAGGACCTATGCATTTCTGGATCTCTGAATTTCTGGGTCTGTGGATTTCTGGAGGAGCCCAGGTCAGGGCATTAAAATCAACCTGGGCAGGGATTTGGGATCTGGGGCCAAAGACAGAGCCACAGCTTTCCCCTCTGCTGGAAAAGCTCCCAAAATCCCCCTAAGGAAAATATGAGGGAAAGAATTGCCAAAGCTGGCTGAAATGTTAGGAAATGTGGAAAATTAAGAGGAGAAGAATGCCCCAGGTGCCCCTGGAGTGGCTCACGTGTGTCTGTGGCACAGGGACTCGATGCAGATCAGCACCCGCACGCTGTCCCGCGCTCGCAGCTGCACTTTGCTCTTCAGCTCGCTGTGGTCTGGGAAAAACAGTGGGGAAAACGTCAGCAATCCCACAAATTCTGGGGTCTGGGCTCCTGAGGGACACCAGCAGCCTTGGGATGGCTGCAGGAGGTGCCAGAAGGTTCCTCCATGTCTGATGGAGCCAAAGGTAACGGATCCAAGGTGGATCCATCAGTGGTCATCAGGGATAGAACCTGGTGGATCCATCAGTGGTAGAACCTGTGGGATAATGGACTTAGAAAGGGGATCCCAGGTGGATCCATCAGGGATAGAACCTCTGGGACAGTAGATTTAAAAATGGGATCTACCAGGGTGGATCCATCAGTGGTAGAACCTGCGGGATAATGGATTTAAAAAGGGGATCCCAGGTGGATCCATCAGGGATAGAACCTGTGCAATATCAGATTTAAAATGGGATCCACCAGGGTGGATTAATCAGTGATAGAACTTCTGGGATAATAGATTTATAAAGGGGATCCCAGGTGGATCCATCAGTGGTCATCAGGGATAGAACCTGGTGGATCCATCAGTGGTAGAACCTCTGAGATAATGGATTTATAAAGGGGATCCCAGGTGGATCCATCAGTGGCAGAACCTCTGGAATATCGGATTTTAAAAGGGGATCCATCACTGGCCATTAGTAGCAGAACCTCTGGAATATCCAGGGATTCTCCAGAGCATCCTCTGGGGGTTCTTCAGGAGGTTCTCCAGGGGTTGGGGTCTCCAGGGGTTGGGGTCCCTGAGGCAGCACTCACCGATGTGGACGTTGGCTGAGAACTGGTAGATGCCACCCACGGGGGCGGTGAAGCGGCCGGTGGCCAGGTTCAGCCCCGAGCCCCGCAGGAACGCGCCCTTGGCCACGGGCTGCGGAGAGAGAACAGAGCTGCAGCCCTGGGCTGAGCCCAAAGCCCTGGGCTGAGCCCAAATCCAGCCCTGGGCTGAGCCCAAATCCTTGGGCTGAGCTCAAATCCAGCCCTGGGCTGAGCCCAAATCCCTGGGCTGAGCCCAAATCCAGCCCTGGGCTGAGCCCAAATCCCTGGGCTGAGCCCAAATCCAGCCCTGGGCTGAGCCCAAATCCCTGGGCTGAGCTCAAATCCAGCCCTGGGCTGAGCCCAAATCCCTGGGCTGAGCCCAAATCTAGCCCTGGGCTGAGCTCAAATCCAGCCCTGGGCTGAGCCCAAATCCTTGGGCTGAGCCCAAATCCCTGGGCTGAGCTCAAATCCAGCCCTGGGCTGAGCCCCAAGCCCTGGGCTGAGCCCAAATCCAGCTCTGGGCTGAGCCCAAATCCTTGGGCTGAGCCCAAATCCAGCCCTGGGCTGAGCCCAAATCCTGAATCCCTGGGCTGATCCCAAATCCCTGAACTGCTCTTGAATCCCTGGGCTGAGGCCAAATCTTGATTCGCAGGGCTGATCCCAAATCAGTGAACTGCTCCTGAATCCCTGAGCTGCTCCTAAACTCATGGGTTGATCCCAAATCCTTGGATTGATCCCAAATCCCTGTGGTGATCCCAAATCCATCCCTGTTCTGCTCCTGGCTCCATCCCTGTGCTGATCCCCAATCCCTGAGCTGCTCCTGGCTCCATCCCTGTGCTGATCCCAAATCCCTGTGCTGATCCCAAATCCCTGAGCTGCTCTGGCTCTGCATTCCCCTTTCCCAGAGGGCACAAGCCCAAACTCGACTCTTCTCGTCCCGGGCTGCAGTGCCAGCTTGGCACCCAGAGCCTCCCACAGCAGCTCCGAGCCAGGAAAAATCAGGAATGAATTGGGCACCTCATCCCTGAGGCACAGGAAGCAGCAGCCCACGGCTGGGATGGCTTAATTAGTCCCATTTTCCCTGCTAATTAATGAGGCAGCAGCTCTCCCTCCAGCCCTGCCCATGCCTCAGGGCTGATCCTGCCTGGCTGCCAAGCCAAGCTGCCAAAAGCTTGGGAAATAAATAGTGGAATAATGGATCCAAGGTGGATCCATCAGTGGCAGTGGCAGAACTTCTGGGATATTTGATTTTAAAAGGTGGAGCCATCAGTAGTAGAGCCTCTGGGATAATGGATTTAAAAAGGGGATCCCAGGTGGATCCACCAGGAATAATGGATTTTAAAAGGGGATCCAAGATGGATCCATCAGTGGCAGAATCTCTGTAATATTTGATTTAAAAAGGGGATCCCAGGTGGATCCATCAGGGATAGAACCTCTGGAATATTTGATTTAAAAAGGGGATCCAAGGTGGATCCATCAGTGGCAGAACCTCTGGAATACTGGATTTAAAAAGGGGATCCAAGAGGGATCCATCAGGAATAATGGATCTAAAAAGGGGATCCCAGGTGGATCCATCAGTGGCAGAACCTCTGGAATATTTGATTTTAAAAGGGGATCCAAGAGGGATCCATCAGGAATAATGGATTTAAAACGGGGATCCCAGGTGGATCCACCAGGAATATTGGACTTTAAAAGAGGATCCAAGGTGGATCCATCGGGATAGAACCTCTGGAATATTTGATTTAAAAAGGGGATCCCAGGTGGATCCATCAGTGGCAGAACCTCTGGAATATTGGATTTTAAAAGGGGATCCAAGAGGGATCCATCAGGAATAATGGATCTAAAAAGGGGATCCCAGGTGGATCCATCTCTGACCCTCCTTTGGGCACCTTCTCCTGGATTTGTCTCTTCCTTTCAGCCCCAGAGGAGTTTCTGGGCTGAGCAGGAAGCCCCACAGAGCCACGCAGGGCCCTGGAGCTGATCCCCAGCAGGATGAGTCTGGAATTCCTCACCGACTGGAAATTCTGGAGTTCCACCAAGGTCTTCTTGTCCACCAGCACCTGGCCCTTGAGCTTGCAGTGGAACGCCTCCTCCACGCGCCGCTGGGACGGGACCTCCTCCAGGGACAGCAGCAGCGGGGGCAGCTGGCTGGGGTGGGCCGAGATGGCCAGGGAGGCCCTGTGCTCCATGGCTTCTGAGGGAAAAAGGGCAACAAAATGGAATAAAATGGAATAAAATCTTCATTTAAGGGCCGGGTCATTCCTGTTCCTGTGATGGAACCTCCTCCAGGGACAGCAGCAGCTGGTTGGGGTGGGCTGAGATGGCCAGGGAGGCCCTGTGCTTGATGATTTCTGAGGGGAAACGGGCAATAAAATGGAATAAAATGGAATAAAATCTTCATTTAAGGGCCGGGTCATTCCTGTTCCTGTGATGGAACCTCCTCCAGGGGCAGCAGCAGCTGGTTGGGGTGGGCCAAAATGTCCAGGGAGGCCCTGTGCTCCATAGTTTCTGAGGGAAAAAGGGCAATAAAATGGAATAAAATAGAATAAAATCTTCATTTAAGGGCCGGGTCATTCCTGTTCCTGTGATGGAACCTCCTCCAGGGACAGCAGCAGCTGGTTGGGGTGGGCTGAGATGGCCAGGGAGGCCCTGTGCTCCATGGCTTCTGAGGGAAAAAGGGCAATAAAAGGAAATAAAATGAAATAAAGTGAAATAAAATTGAATAAAATGAAATAAAATAAAATGAAAAAACAAAAAAAAAAAGTAAAAGGAAATAAAATCTTCATTTAAGGGCCCAGCCTAGTGGGGGCAGCTGGCTGGGGTGGGGCAAAAGGACCAGGGAGGCCCCAGGCTTCATGGTTTCTGAGGGGAAAAGGGGAATAAAATGAAATAAAAGGAAATAAAATCTTAATTTAAGTAAAAGGAAATAAAATCTTCATTTAAGATCTTCATCTAAGCCTAGTGGGGGCAGCTGGCTGGGGTGGGCCAAAAGGACCAGGGAGGCCCCAGGCTTCATGGTTTCTGAGGGGAAAAGGGGAATAAAATGAAATAAAAGGAAATAAAATCTTAATTTAAGGGCCTGGCCTATGAAATCATTAGTGTGTGCTTGGAATCCTGCACTTGGATCTTCAATTAACGCCCAGCAGCACTGGGGGAACATTTTTGGTTGCCATTTCAGTTCATGGTTCTTCGCCAAAACAAAGCTCCTCCAGCCTTTAATACCCTTTACCTTGAATATCCTTCAAAAATCTTTGACTTTTTAAAATCTTTTACCTTTCAAGATCTCCTTGAACTCCTGCAGAAGAACTTCCCTGGTGACTTCAGCCCCAGGAGCTCCTGGAGGTCCCTGAGGCCCAGGAGGCCCTGGAGGCCCCACCAGGCCTCGCTGAGGGAACAAACAAAGGAAAATTTGGGATCAAAACCTGGGAATTGCAGAAAATCCTACAGGAACATCAGCAACGTGAGGGGGGTTGTTCCTAGAAAATTCCTGATCATTTTTGGAGGACACTGAGGGATCAGGAGGAGCCAAGAGCTCTGAAAGTCCCTCAGAGATCTTCTTCCAGCTGCTGGGACTCCCATTCCTTGGATAATCCTCTAAAATTCCACGGAAAAGCTGCCCAGACTTTCAGAGGATGCAAAAAACTCCTCAAATAATTAAAATAATTAAAAGAATCCAAGATTGTCCAAGCAGCAGATGAGAAGTGCCACATGATTAATGAGCTGTCACTCAGCTCATTAATTTGAAATAAACCACTTGTCCACACCTTGATTAATTTATCCTTTGGGATACTTGGACTTTATCTCTTGGAAGGAGAAAAAAAAAAATGGATTTTCTTTTGAATGAGCAGGAAAATAACCCAAAAAGAGGCTCAATTTGAGAGAGGCCGGTTCAAAATTCCCACATCTCCTCTGCCGAAGCCAGAAGGATCAAACTTCTCCAAAAATGGAGAAATTAAACCCAAATAAAAAGGAAACTCAGCACTCTTTGGGCTGGGGAAAGGATGAGCAGCAGGAAGGGAAGCGTGGCACACGTGGAGTGCAAATCCTACCAATTTTTTGTCTTTGCCTTTGCATCTCCTCTTGGAGTTTTTCCCGTCGTCCGGGCGGTGCACGAAGGAGATCCAGGTCCTGCGGGGGTCCGTGATCCGCGCGTCCGCGGCCTCCGGGAGCTGGGGACACACCAGGACACGGATCAGGGATGGACTGCCTCAGAGGGACCCAAAAATCCAGCCTGGAGCTCCAAAAGTCCCTCAGAGATCTGGAAATTCCATGGAAAATCCACCCAGGTATTCAGGGGATGGGAAAACCCAGCCATGGCTGTTCCTGCTGCTCTTGGAGGTCACTGAGGGTGTCCTTGAGGGATCAGGAGGACCAAGAGCTCAAAAAGTCCCTCAGAGATCTTGAAATTCCATGGAAAATCCACCCAGATGTTCAAGGGATGGGAAAACCCAGCCATGGCTGTTCCTGCTGCTCTTGGAGGACACTGAGGGCGTCCCTGAGGAGCCAAGAGCTCCAAAAGTCCCTCAGAGATCTTTAAATTCCATGGAAAACCCACCCAGATGTTCAAGGATGCAAAAATCCAGCCCAGGCTGCTTTTGGGAGGACACTGAGGGATCACGAGGAGCCAAGAGCTCCAAAAGTCCCTCAGAGATCTTTTTCCATCTGCTGGGACTCCCATTCCCTGATAATCCCCTGAAATTCCATGGAAAACCCACCCAGATGGTCAGAGGACAGAAACATGGATCATTCTGGAAATGATCCCAGAAGCCACCTTGGGAGTTCTCTGCTGCTCCCAGCTTGGGGAACAGTGAAAATTAAACATAAAAATCAAAGGAAATTGATGAGATGAGGCTGGGAAAAGGCAGGAAAATCCCAATAAACCTGGGAATGATCCCAGAAGCCACCTTGGGAGTTGGAGGACACTGAGGGATCACGAGGAGCCAAGAGCTCCAAAAGTCCCTCAGAGATCTTTTTCCATCTGCTGGGACTCCCATTCCCTGACAATCCCCTGAAATTCCACGAAAAACCCACCCAGATGGTCAGAGGACAGAAACATGGATCATTCTGGAAATGATCCCAGAAGCCACCTTGGGAGTTCTCTGCTGCTCCCAGCTTGGGGAACAGTGAAAATTAAACATAAAAATCAAAGGAAATTGATGAGATGAGGCTGGGAAAAGGCAGGAAAATCCCAATAAACCTGGGAATGATCCCAGAAGCCACCTTGGGAGTTCTCAGCTGATCCCAGCCTGAGGGACCATCAAAATTAAACATAAAAATTGAAGGGAATTGATGAAATGAAGCTGGGAAAAGGCAGGAAATCCCAATAAACCTGGGAATAACTCCAGGAATGACCCCAAACCCACCTTGGGAGTTCTCAGTTTGATCCCAACATGGAGAACAATGAAAATTAAATAAAAAATCAAAGAGAATTGATGAAATGAAGCTGGGAAAAGGCAGGAAATCCCAATAACTCCAGGAATGATCCCAGAAGCCACCTTGGGAGTTCTCAGCTGATCCCAGCCTGAGGAACCATCAAAATTAAACATAAAAATCAAAGGGAATTGATGAAATGAAGCTGGGAAAAGGCAGGAAATCCCAATAAACCTGGGAATAACTCCAGGAATGATGCCAAACCCACCTTGGGAGTTCTCAGCTGATCCCAGCCTGAGGAACCATCAAAATTAAACACAAAAATCAAAGGGAATTGATGAAATGAAGCTGGGAAAAGGCAGGAAATCCCAATAAACCTGGGAATAACTCCAGGAATGATGCCAAACCCACCTTGGGCTGCTCCTCGCTGTTGGCCAGGGAGGCGTTCAGGGGCTCTGGGTGCTCCTTCCTGCCCCTCCTGTCCTTCCTGGCCGCGGTCACCGCGCGGGGACACAGCTGGTGGCACAGCAGAGCCAGCAGCAGCCACCAGCCCGGCATGGTGGCAGCCAGGAAAATCCAATTTGTGCCCAAAAAAATCCAAATTAACCAGGTCGGGGTCAAGGAGCCAGGAGGAAAATGATCCAGGACCAAGGAAGAACTGGATGTGTGTCCAAAAAAATCCAAATTAACCAGGTCGGGGTCAAGGAGCCAGGAGGAAAATGATCCAGGACCAAAAAAAATTGGATTTGTGTCCAAAAAAATTCAAATTAACCAGGTCAGGGTCAAGGAGCCAGGAGGAAAATGATCCAGGATCAAAAAAAATCAAGATTTTTGTCCCAAAAAATTCAAATTAACCAGGTCAGGGTCAAGGAGCCAGGAGGAAAATGATCCAGGACCAAAAAAAATCTAGATTTTTGTCCCAAAAAATTCAAGTTAACCAGGTCAGGGTCAAGAAGCCAGGAGGAAAATGATCCAGGACCAAAAAAAATCAAGCTTTTTGTCCCAAAAAATTCAAGTTAACCAGATCAGGGTCAAGAAGCCAGGAGGAAAATGATCCAGGACCAAAAAAAATCAAGCTTTTTGTCCCAAAAAATTCAAGTTAACCAGATCAGGGTCAAGAAGCCAGGAGGAAAATGATCCAGGACCAAAAAAAATCAAGCTTTTTGTCCCAAAAAATTCAAGTTAACCAGATCAGGGTCAAGAAGCCAGGAGGAAAATGATCCAGGACCAAAAAAAATCAAGCTTTTTGTCCCAAAAAATTCAAGTTAACCAGATCAGGGTCAAGAAGCCAGGAGGAAAATGATCCAGGACCAAAAAAAATCAAGCTTTTTGTCCCAAAAAATTCAAGTTAACCAGATCAGGGTCAAGAAGCCAGGAGGAAAATGATCCAGGACCAAAAAAAATTGGATTTGTGTCCAAAAAAATCCAAATTAACCAGGCCAGGGTCAAGGAGCCAGGAGGAAAATGATCCAGGATCAAGGAAGAACTGGATTTGTGTCCAAAAAAATCCAAATTAACCAGGTCAGGGTCAAGGAGCCAGGAGGAAAATGATCCAGGACCAAGGAAAAACTGGCTTTGTGTCCAAAAAAATCCAAATTTATTAGGTCAGGATTAAGAAGCCAGAGGTAAAATGCTTCAGTACCAATAAAAACAAAAAAAACCCCCAAATTAACCAGGTCAGGATTAAGAAGCCAGGGGGAAAATCCTTCAGGACCAAAAAAAAAATTGGATTTGTGTCCAAAAAAATCCAAATTAACCAGGTCAGGGTCAAGGAGCCAGGAGGAAAATGATCCAGGATCAAGGAAGAACTGGATTTGTGTCCAAAAAAATCCAAATTTATTAGGTCAGGATCAAGAAGCCAGGGGGAAAATCCTTCAGGACCAAAAAAAAAAAATTGGATTTGTGTCCCAAAAAATCCGAATTAAGCAGGTCAGGATCAAGGAGCCAGGTGCAAAATCCTTCAGGATCAATAAAACCCAGATTTGTCTCTAAAATAAATCCGGAATTAAGCAGGTGAGAAGGATCCAAGCAGTCAGCAATACAAAGACAGATTTGTGTCCAAAAAAAAACCAAATTAACCAGGTCAGGATCAAGGTGTAAAATCCTTCAGGAGCAAAAAAAACCCCCAGATTTGTCTCTAAAACATAAATCCAGAATTAAGCAGGTGAGGATCCAAGCAGATTTGTCTCCAAAAAATCCAAATTTCAGAAGGATCCAACTGGATTTATGTCCAAAAAATCCAAATTTCAGAAGGATCCAACCGGATTTATGTCCAAAAAAATCCAAATTTCAGGAGGATCCAAGCAGCCAGGTGCAAAATCCTTCAGGATCAAAAAAACCCTGGATTTGTGTCCAAAAAATCCAAATTCCAGAAGGTTCCAAGCAGCTCCTCGGGATGGAAAAGCCGGAGATGAATTTGTTTGGAATTTGTTTGGAATTTGTTTGGAATTTGTTTGGAATTTGTTTGGAATTTGTTTGGAATAAGGGTCCAAGCAGCAAAAAATCCAGGTACAGGCAGAGATGAATTTGTTTGGAATTTGTTTGGAATTTGTTTGGAATTTGTTTGGAATTTGTTTGGAATTTGTTTGGAATTTGTTTGGAATTCTGGATCCTCAGGAGATGGAGCTGAGTCCGTGGGAGCTTCCCAGAAATCCCAGAGGCGAAGGGCTGCTCTGTCCTAAATCCGGCCTAAAACTGGTTTTCTGTCCCCTCTGCGCCCCCAAAATCAGATTTAAAACCGGTTTCACTCTGCCTCCTATATTGGGCTTGAAACTGGTTTTAAAGGCACTCAACACCCACAAAGGGGGCTTGAAACTGGTTTTAGTCAGCCCCTTCTGACCCCCTTAATCCAGTTTGAAACCGGTTTTAGTCTGCCCCTTCTGACCCCCTTAATCCAGTTTGAAACTGGTTTTAGTCAGCCCCTTCTGACCCCAAATCCAGATTAAAACTGGTTTTACTCTGCCCCCCAAAATGGGGTTTGAAACTGGTTTTAAAGGCTCTCAGCCCCACCAGACGGGGTTTAAAACTGGTTTTAAAGGGGCTGGAAGCTGCAGGGCAGAGCTGAGCCCGGGCTCAGGCGGGGTTTAGCCAGGCTGGGCTCAGAGCCCGGAATCCGACCCGTCCCTTCCCGGGAGAAATCCTCGAATTTCCCTCGGCACTGCAGGGAACGGAATCCGGGGAATCGCCGGCATCCCGGCCCGGCCGTGGAAGGAGAAAACCCAGCCTCACACCCCAAAAAATCCTCACACCCCAAAAAACAGATCCCAAAAAAACAGATCCCAAAAAAATCCCCCACACACCCGAAAAACGGATCCCTCACATGCCAAAAACCAGATCCTTCACATCCCAAAATGATCCTCCACACCCCAAAAGAATTCCTCACACCCCAGGAAACAAATCCCAAAAAACAACTGTCACGCCCCAAAAAACAAATCCCAAAACTGAAATCCCTGACATCCCAAAAGAACAAACCCCAAAAAAAACAACCCTCAAAAAACAAACCCCTCACATCCCAAAAAACAAACCCCAAACCCCAAATTCCTTACATCCCAAAAAAGCACACCCCAAGAAACAAACCCCAAAACTCAAATCCCTCACATCCCCAAAAAACAAATCCCAAAGCCCAAAACTCTCACACCCCAAAAAACAAATCCCAACCCCCAAATCCCTTACATCCCAAAAAGCAAACCCCAAAAACCAAACCTCAAAATCCCAAATCCTTCACACGCCAAAAAAAACAAATCCCAGAAAAGAAATCCAAAAAACCAAACCCCAAAAAACAAATCCCAAACCCCAAAAACCAAACCCCGAATCCTTCACAGCCCAAAAAAAACCAAATCCCGAAAAACAAATCCCAAACCCCAAAAACCAAACCCCGAATCCTTCACAGCCCAAAAAAAACCAAATCCCGAAAAACAAATCCCAAACCCCAAATCCTCCGTAGCCCAAAAAACAAATCCCAAAAACCAAACCCCAAATCCTTCACCCCCAAAAAACAAATCCCAAAAACCAAACCCCAAATCCTTCACCCCCAAAAAACAAATCCCAAAATCCAAACCCCAAAAGCTCCGCGGGGGAAGCGAAACCTCCCCGAGCCCGGCAGGAGCAGGTGGAGTTTCCCAAAATTTTTCCACCTTTTTTTTTTTTTTTTTTTTCCAGTTTTTCCCTAAAAAACCAAAAACCCCAAATCCCGGCGCTGTCACGGGGCGGGAGGGCGCGGATTCCCCATCCCAAATCCCAAATTGCCGCTGGAATTCCCGCTGGAATCGCGGCTCCTGCCGCGGCTCCGGCTCCCGCGGCTTCCCGGAGGAGTTTCCATCAACTCCAAGAAAAGGAGGAGGAAAAAAAAAAAAACAGGGAAAAAAAAAAAAGGGAAAAAAGGAGGAGCTGCAGGCGGGCCCGCGGAATTCCCAGCGGAGGGAGCTGCCCGGGGAAACAGGGGGTTTTTTGGGATTTATCCCAGGAAAATCAGGGGTTTTTTGGGATTTTATCTAAGGAAAATCAGATTTTTTTGGGGGATTTTGTCTCAGGAAAATCAGATTTCTGGGGGGATTTATCCCAGGAAAATCAAGGGGTTTATTGGGATTTATCCCAGGAAAATCAGGGGTTTATTGGGATTTTATCTCAGGAAAATCAGGTTTTTTTTGGGATTTTATGCCAGGAAAATCAGATTTATTGAGGGAGATTTATGCCAGGAAAATCCAGGGGGGTTTGGGGATTTTATCTCAGGAAAATCAGATTTTTTGGGGGTTTTTTTTCTCACGAAAATCAGGGTTTTATTGGGATTTTATCCCAGGAAAACTGGATTTTTTTGGGATTTTATCTCAGGAAAATCAGATTTCTGGGGGGATTTATCCCAGGAAAATCCAGGGGGGTTGGGGTTTTTATCCCAGGAAAATCAGATTTTTTTTCAAGGTTTTTATCCCAATAAAATCAGATTTTTGGGGGGATTTATCCCAGGAAATTCAGGTTTTTTTATTGGGATTTTATGCCAGGAAAATCAGATTTATTGAGGGAGATTTATGCCAGGAAAATCCAGGGGGGTTTGGGGATTTTATCTCAGGAAAATCAGATTTTTTGGGGGTTTTTTTTCTCACGAAAATCAGGGTTTTATTGGGATTTTATCCCAGGAAAACTGGATTTTTTTGGGATTTTATCTCAGGAAAATCAGATTTCTGGGGGGATTTATCCCAGGAAATTCAGGTTTTTTTATTGGGATTTTATGCCAGGAAAATCAGAATTTTTTTGGGAGATTTATGCCAGGAAAATCCAGGGGGGGTTGGGTTGGGGATTTTATCCCAGGAAAATCAGATTTTTTTTGGGGAATTTTAACTCAGGAAAATCAGGGTTTTTATTGGGATTTTATGCCAGGAAAATCAGATTTTTTGGGGGAATTTTAACTCAGGAAAATCAGATTTTTTGGGGGGGATTTTTTCTCACGAAAATCAGGTTTTTTGTTGGGATTTTATGCCAGGAAAATCAGATTTATTTTCGAGGTTTTTATCCCAATAAAATCAGATTTTTGGGGGTATTTATCCCAGAAAATTCCAGGTTTTTTG